GTTCGAAGTTCCACGAAAGGGAACGTCTCGGGTTACTTATGTAACCATGGTTCCCTGAGGGGAACGAGACACTGCGTCCTCTAGCTTTTGTGCCATGCTGCGGACACAAGCTTCAGACGAAGAAGTGATGATGTGCGCTACCGGCGCCTATTTTGTACTAGTCGCGACGGTAGTGACGTCATGGCTGTCGCCGGCCAAACAAGTTGGTGTTTTTTCAATGTAGGCTTCAGACACGGGTCACGACGAGGCGTTCCCCATAGCGACCCCTAGAGGACGCAGTGTCTCGTTCCCCTCAGGGAACCATGGTTACATAAGTAACCCGAGACGATTCTTATTTTCTGAGAAATGCAATAAAATTTAGGGAATTTTTGCTTAAAACAAGAAAGAAAAAAAATCTCCCAATTCAGTAAGAAAAATTATATATTTATAATATATTTCTTTTTGTTTTAGGATAAGATCACTTAAAATCACAATCATGAAATTAGCATAAAATCTCTTAATTTTAATACTGTTTTTTCAGAAAACAAGACAATATCTTAAGTCATTTTTCTTCTCAACTAAAAGTATCTTGATGTAAGAATGTAAATATTTGTAGTAGAAAGCAATACAAAAATACAATGCAAAAAAAGTTTTTATTTTTTTATTTTTATGTGCATTACACTTGTATTTGCATCTGGCATACGCTTTGATGTAAAATTCCCTGGGAAATAAACCCGTGACACTGGCATTGCTAGCTCTATGCTCAACTGTTTCTCTTTTCTTTTTCCTAATGGGAAGTTTGTGGCAACAAGTTTTAGCCATTTCTTCAGGTTCCATGATGTCTTGCTACACCATTTTATGCTATAAAATGAAAACAAGACAACAAAAGTTGCTATGTCAAGTTCACATTTGAACTAGTGCTCTTCCCCTCTGTGAGGTTTCAGCTGTATCATGGCTCCTGGCCTCCTGAGACCCTGCTGCTGGCTGGGATTTCTGGAAAGCTCTGCTATCTCCTTCAGCCAAACTCTCCTCCCTGTGTGGCTGGATAATGAGACGCATCGTGAATGTGGATGGGCGGCCGAATTGCGGAGGGCCGTGGATCATGATCTGAAGCCTCAGTGAAGGATATTAAGGGCCGTTCTCTGACAGCGACAAAGCGAATAGAAGTCCGTAATTTTCAATATGACTTGTCATTGCAATGTGGGCACATAGTGCGCAAAGTTGAGAAAATTGATTGTTTATTATTGGTGCATCATTTGTCTCCTGTAAGATGCGGTAGTCAAGTTTGGGCTGGAGAAGTTAATGGTTCTGTGAGCGATTCCACTGTTTTGTATGATTTGTCTTTGTCCACATAAAAAATGGTGCGTGGAAGATGGTGTCAGAAATTGTCATCTTTCTAAGTGATTTTGATTCATTCGTACTTGTTCATGAAATGCTGTAGTTCAAATCCAAACGCTTTTCCTGCATGTTCATTTCTAAATGGATAAAACCTGATTAATTGTCAAAGTAGAATGGCAGAATCATATTTTTATATTAAATCGATAAAACTGGCTTCAGTGTTTTAAAAATATTTTTCGTGCTTATGTGACCATTAAGGGAACATTAAATTTGAGAAATTTGCAAACATGATGGGAATGCTACTTTTGAAAGTTCTCTGTACATTCTGAAACAAGTAATACTTTTTGTTTTAAATTTCAAATGACAACTAAAACCTTTCAGGAAAAAAAAGTATAAAAAAAAGTGTTGCATAAACATTTGCATAAATGTTTTCAAAATTTCTTACATTTTCAAAATACTATGTTTATATAATAAATCTATGACATCAGTGATCATTGATTTTGCTTTAACGCCGCATCATTTATTTTCTTTTTAAATGTTTTTATTTAATTATTAAAAATATTAAATTCAATTTTTATTTTATTTTATTTATTTTGTTAATTAGAAAACTGGATATTTTAACATGATTAATTGATTAGGATTTTTTATCACATAACATTAAAAAAAAGGAGTTCTGAAGTGTTTTGAATATTTTAAATAAATGCATATTCTCGATTGATTGCTTGGTTTCTTTTCTTCATATCTGCCCTGGTGACCTAGCCTTCAAATTTTCCAGTCTCATTTGCATCTCACTGATTGTAATCTGCCATTTGGAGACAGTTTGTCCATGTAAAAATGAACACAGACATAATGAAATGAGGATTATTTCTCAAATGTTAGTGGTTTTGACGCGGTTTTAATTTGGCTTTATTATTGAATTCTGCTTCTCATGCGCAAAATGATTGCATTTTGTGTCAGATCTAAACAGATAAATAATAAAAGCAATATGAGGTGCACAATATATCACATAACAAGGCATCTTAATAGTCTGTCAATGAGGGTTCCTCAATTTGCACCAAGTTAATGAACAAAATTGTTGCATGTCTTCTGTCTTATTAACATTAAATGGTTATGGCACAGCTGAACATTCATTTCAATATAGATGCATTTTATTATTGTTATTTTTTAATTTCGGATTTTCTTTGTTTGTGTTAAAACACCCGGTAAAAAATTTATGTTATGTTTTATGTTATGTTATGTTATGTTATGTTTTATGTTATATCGCTACATATGTTATATGTTATGTTATGTTTTATGTTTTATGTTTTATATTTTATGTTTTGTTTTATGTTATGTTATGTTATGTTATGTTATGTTATGTTATAATACATTTTAAATATATTAATTTTAATTAAGATTTAAAGTTGCATGACATTTCTAGGCATTTAAATGTAATTTATAGTGTAATAAAGTTGATTGATGTTAAAAATGAACATTATGACAATGTGTGACCAGTTTTACCAATATTTCAGTATTGCCGTGAAATATAATAATATAATATATGATATGATATATGATATGATATGATTAATTTGCTTCAATCGTCAGTACTATATAATGCTTGTCAATGACTTGCAATATTATAAAAGTTATAGTTCATACTTGTGGCCTAGTTAAACAGCTTGCTGTTTGTATTAAGGTTTTTTTTAGGTTATATATTAATTTTCATATATTTTTTGTGATTTACAGTTGATATAGAAATGGTGCACTGTGCTCAGCTTTGACCCAAAGTTTATTTGTGCCATTGAATTGATTGAGTTATATTTACAGATGGAGGCAGACAGTTAATGTTAAGAGGGGTGCCATAATGTCGCTCAATTTCTCCGGCTGATAAGGGGCGCAGTACGTGCGATGAGTGCTCGCCCTTCAGATAACTTCATAATATATTTTTTAGACATTTTAGTTAGCTCAACTTTTTTCCCCTTTTAATTTTCCTTCAAAGGCACATTATCATTCTTATCCTTTCAGATTTATGGCATTCTCATTTAAATATAGATGCATTATATTTGTTGTTAAAGGGTTAGTTCACCCAAAAATGAAAATTAGCCCATAAATTACTCGCCCTCAAGTCATCCTAGGTGTATATGACTTTCTTCTTGCAGACGAATCCAGTCGGAGTTATATAAAAAATTGTCTTTGATATTTCAAGCTGTTTAATGGCAGTCAGCGGGTGTTGCATGCATCAGTCCAAAAGAAGTTAAATAAAAAGCGCCCATCCATAAAAAAAGTGTCTCACACGGCTCCGGGGGGGGGGGGGGGTGAACAAAGGCCTCCTGTAGCGAATCGATGCGTTTTTGTAAGAAAAATATCCATATTCAAAACGTAATAATCACTTTAATGTAGCTTGCGCCAACAGTTGTACACAGAAGCAGCTCCGGGCGGATGACGTAAGAGGTCAGCTTTGCGCATGTGCCGCTCAGAAGTGACGAACGCAGAAGTGCAGGGAAGAGATCAAAACAAAACAACGGTCACTTATTATAAGTGCAAAACGAGGATTTGTAAAGAAGAATGTCGGAGGATTTCGATATAAGCCAAGAGGAGACTGGTTTTCCTTTGCTAAAGTAAGGAAATCCTATTGCTCCTATCCTATTGTTATCCTTTGCTCCTGTTAACAAACGTTGGTTTTCACAAGACTCACCGGCGCATGCGCAACGCCGACCTCATACGTCATCCCCCCGGAGCTGCTTCCATGTACAACTGTGAGCGCAAGCTACATTAAAGTGATTATTACGTTTTGAATATGGATATTTTTCTTACAAAAATGCATCGATTCGCTACAGGACGCCTTTGTTCACCCCCCGGAGCCGTGTGAGGCACTTTTTTATGGATGTGTGCTTTTTATTTAACTTCTTTTGGACTCATGCATGCAACACCCGCTGACTGCCATTAAACAGCTTGAAAGATCAAAGACAATTTTTTATATGACTCCGACTGGATTCGTCTGAAAGAAGAAAGTCATATACACCTAGGATGACTTGAGGGTGAGTAATTTATGGGCTAATTTTCATTTTTGGCTGAACTAACCCTTTAAAGGGATTCCTGCTTTTTCTCCACCTTCTTAGCAAAGGAATTGTGTGCAGATGAATTCATCAAAGAGATGTTAATGACGTGAAGTGTTTCTCATGCAGGCTGGGTTTCCAGCTGTGAATGTCAAAAGTGACTCTTTAAAAATGTATTCATATGGTCTGTTGTTCCATTCACAAGTCTCAACCTTTCCCTCTACACTCCACTTCCATCATCATGGAAGTGCTGAAAGAAAATTTTAATATTTCACTTTCACTCAAAGGAAGTGAAATTGTCATGTTTAAATACCCTTGATCACGGCTGGGTTCATTTTGAATGCAGGGATGAGGGATCTGGGACCTGCTAATCTCACAATGCTGGTCAGTCAGGGTTTTCGAGATGTTGAAAAATACAGTGTCAGAAAAATGCAAAAAATTGACCTTTACCATGTCACTGGATCAGCACATCAGTATCTTATTTACCCTTAAAACATGCATAATACATCTTTAATTTAATCTAATGCTGTGCCTGGCTATAAAGTAAAACACAGTAATGTTGTGGAATATTATTACTTTTTAAAATAACTCTATCTGAATATATTTTAAAATGCAATTTATCCCACTCCTCAGAGCTGAATTTTCAGTATCATTACTCCAGTCTCAGTGTCATATGCTGATTTGCTGCTCAAGAAACATTTCTTATTAATAATTAATGTTAATTATTGTTAATTATTGTTCAAAACAGTTGTGCTGCTTAAAATTTTTTGTGTAAACCCCGTGGTATTTTTTTCCGGATTTTTTGATAAAAAGAAACTGCAAAAGTACAGTATTTTTTTAGATCTTATGTAACACTTACAATCAGTTTGTTGCTTCCTTGCTGAATAAATGCATTGATTAAAAACACGTGCACACAAACCTTTAAACTGTGGCATATACTGTAAATACATTATAAAATGTTTACACATATTTATTTTTTCCCACTAGCAATAAAATTGTAGTACTCAGGTCCATTTTAATACATTTTATCATCCATTCTGTGTGGGCTTAGCAATTGAAAACACACACACACACACACACACACACAAATGGGCACTAGATGATGTTTACTGAAGATGAATGGTTTAATAGTGTGATATAATCAGTTGTGTAGGTTCAGTATATGAAGCCTGTGCAGATATAAGATATTCTAGCAGAACTGTCCAGCTATGTAACTTATAAAGTTACATTAGTTGATTATGAAGCAGCAGCCAGTGTGTGAATAATAATATTGCTTCATTAACTTCACATTTGTTTTCCTTCAAGAGAGAATGAAAGTATACTAACCCATTTTAAACAACCAGCCACGACCTCATTCACCAGACTTGCTGTTTGAGGCTATGAACTAGGCGTTTGTGATGTCTTACCATATAAATATAATTTTTTAAAGCAGGCTTGCAGAACACAATGTTCATTGGAGCACTAGGTTTCTAGGCTAGTATTATTTGTTGCAGGTTAACAGGAGGGAGGGATTTGAAAGAGATGCAAGTCTATCAGCTCAAATACTGTACACTGTACATACCTCCACATAAAGCATATGTTCCCAATCTCTACAGACACATTGATATGCTCATAATCTTGCTTGATCTTTTATAAGCTCCTTAACTTAGGAATTGGGGTGATTTCATTCTTAAATCCTGTTCTAAAAAGAGAGATTATTTTCATTTCATTTCTTTTATAAATCGTTTAAACTGGTTTCATAGAGCAGTCAGGGTTATATCCTTAAGGTGACCTCAGAATGAACTCTATGTCTTTTATATGCGCATAAATTGTTTCTTTAACATGATTTATGCTGTAAAATAGGTTAAATGGCTCAAATGTTGTCACTTACACAGAAACGCTTATGATTTCTAATTCACCCTCTTTTTAATTAAATTCTCACTGATGTAGAAATCCTGAATGGAGGCGTGTATGTGGATCAGAATAAGTTCCTGTGTCACGCTGACACCGTCCACTGGCAGGACATCATCAAGAACCCACGTTCTGAACTTCTGGTCGTGCCCTCAAACAACAGTGGCAACACATGTGAGTGTTTCGATGAGTTTAATGACTCAAACCAGGCTATAATAATTGATGATTTTCATAATTAGACTGAAATTGTTTTGTGTCCTTTCAAAACTTGCATGTGCAGGCTATAATTTGAAACTTTAACAAACAAGAAGATATGTAAAAGGTTTTAAAATATTTACAGCAATACTGAAATACTGATAAAACTGATAATGTTAATATTAGTTGAACTTGAATTTCTTTGTATACACTACTGTTCAGAAACGTCGGGTTGGTAAGGTGTTTTTGAAAGAAATCTTTTATTATCAAAAGTACAGTCAAAACAGTAATATTATAATATTGTATTATTACAATATAAAATATTTGTATATATTTTTAAAAATTTAATTTATTCCTGTGGTGGTAAAGCTGAATATTTAGCATCATTACTCCAGTCTTCAGTCACATGATCTTTCAGAAATCATTCTAATATGCTGATTTGCTGCTCAAGAAACATTTCTTATTACTCTCAGCTCTCAAAAAACAGTAGTGCTGCCATCATACATTTTTGATGATATTTGATGAATAGAAAATTAAACAAAAAAACCTGCATAAAAAAACATGGATTTGAAACATATTTGAACTGTTTTCTAACAGTATAAATATACATATACTTATATATAAAATAACTAAAAACGTATGTATACATATACTTATATACTGTAGTTTAAACACAGGCAAATTGCCAAATTCATTGTTTCATTGTGTTCAGTGTTCACGCTAACAAAGTTTTCCAAAAAAAGATGCCATATGCTTTTGCAAATAGTTTGCAAGGTTTTGGGGTCTTTTTGAAACGCCTAGAAAATTGCAGGATTTCTGTAATTTATTCCTGTGATGGTAAAGCTGAATATTTAGCATCATTACTCCAGTCTTCAGTGTCACATGATCTTTCAGAAATCATTCTAATATGCTGATTTGCTGCTCAAGAAACATTTCTTATTACTCTCAGCTCTCAAAAAACAGTAGTGCTGCCATCATACATTTTTGATGATATTTGATGAATAGAAAATTAAACAAAAAAACCTGCATAAAAAAACATGGATTTGAAACATATTTGAACTGTTTTCTAACAGTATAAATATACATATACTTATATATAAAATAACTAAAAACGTATGTATACATATACTTATATACTGTAGTTTAAACACAGGCAAATTGCCAAATTCATTGTTTCATTGTGTTCAGTGTTCACGCTAACAAAGTTTTCCAAAAAAAGATGCCATATGCTTTTGCAAATAGTTTGCAAGGTTTTGGGGTCTTTTTGAAACGCCTAGAAAATTGCAGGATTTCTTCAGTGTAATCAGCCTTAACTGAAATAATACTGTTGAGTCCCTCTCAATCACACTCTCTCGATAATTACAAAATAGTCAATTAAATCCAAGTGGTGAAAATGAGTGGGGGAACTAAGTGGGAACGTTGTATGAGACAAATCCCACAGTATATTGAAGTGTGCTGTTGTTTAGGATTAACATTAAGATGATTTCCACAGGCAGAAGGTGTCATCGCTCATGTAACGGCCGCTGTTGGGGCCCTCAGGAGGATCAGTGCCAAAGCTGTGAGTATTTAACACAGACTTTATCATTTAACTTGCACAACTACACATCCATACACGCAAAATGCAATACATTAAGGCTTTCAGTGTGATGTGACCTTTGACCATTTTGCAGTATTATAATATTATTGATTTTGTTGTAGCATGTCAACTTATGCTATCATAAATCACTGCCATTATAATGCATTCAAATGGAATAAAATCTATACAACTCGTACATTAATGTATATATAGTTCAGTTAGAAAATGCCCTATTTTTGTTGCTAGACATAATGACATTAATTATTACCAGAAGTTCTTTCTTATTACGCTTGAAACCAAAGTTTAAAAGAAAGTTTATAATTAAGTTATATTAAAATGCCCATATTATACTCATTTAAAAGTTCATAATTTGTAGGGTGTACTAGAATACATTTACTGTAAATGATTTAAAGTTTAAAAAGCACGTTATTTTTTCACACTGTACATTACTTCAGCATAGTTGTAATAATTGTTGTAAAAGTTAGTAGTCATAGTAGTTAAAGAGAGTAGTCATATATTTGTGTATGCCCTATTTTTGTTGCTAGACATAATGACATTAATTATTACCAGAAGTTATTTCTTATTACGCTTGAAACCAAAGTTTAAAAGAAAGTTTATAATTAAGTTATATTAAAATGCCCATATTATACTCATTTAAAAGTTCATAATTTGTAGGGTGTACTAGAATACATTTACTGTAAATGATTTAAAGTTTAAAAAGCACGTTATTTTTTCACACTGTACATTACTTCAGCATAGTTGTAATAATTGTTGTAAAAGTTAGTAGTCATAGTAGTTAAAGAGAGTAGTCATATATTTGTGGCAGTTTTTCTCATGATTAAGGGATAATACAAGACTTCTTCATTTTATAAATGGTTGTTAAAAGCAAAAATGCTTCGAAAGTGTGAGCAAAACAGACACCATTTACTACTGAAGGTTTCTTTCAGAAGGATGCTTCGTCAGCTGAACAATCAGTATGTTGTTAACTGTTAAAAGTTAACTTTTTGCCTGATGTTGCGGACAGAAATATTACTTTACATCAAATAAAAACAGAGTTTCCGTAATTGAAATTAAATGTGTTCTGTCTGTAAAGTAAACACATTCTGAAGCACCTCGAGTGAAAGCTCTTGGGAACTCTGTGATCTTCTCTGGTGCTCGTGGCACAACCTGTGGTGATGCACTCATGAGTGGGTGGCAGATACAAAGAGAGGGACAGCAGGGGATGGCAGGTTCAGTTTTTAATACATAATTAGGTATAATTAAAGACAACCCAGCTCTGTAGAGTGTCACCACTGATGGGGGGAGGGGGGTTACACAGTTTGTCTGGCAAATAATAGATTTAAGTTTTTTGCTTTGTCCTGGTGACTTTTGACATATTTACAGAAAAGTAAACTCATAAAAATGTAGAGGGAGCTTCACTTTTGTCTCCGTGGTTACAGTGACAAAGACGGTGTGTGCAGAGCAGTGTGATGGACGCTGTTTTGGTCCGTACGTCAGTAACTGCTGTCACCGTGAATGTGCAGGAGGCTGTTTCGGACCAAAAGACACAGACTGCTTCGTATGTCAACATCTTCCTGTATTTATACCTCATTCTGCATGATTTTAAAGTGTACTAGAGGTATTGACAAATGCCTGCTCATGTCATTTTTAAAGTAGTTTCATGTGCTTTAAAGGGATAGTTCACCCAAAGATGAACATTATCCCATGATTTACTTACTCTCAAGCCATCCTAGGTGTATATGTATATTTAATTATTTTTATTTTTATTTCAGACTAATTTTATTTCAGACGGAGTTAAATTAAAAAAATGTCCTGGCTCTTCCAAGCTTTAAAATGGCAGTGAATGGGTGTTGATATTCAATAGTCCAATAAAGTGCATCCATCCATAATAAAAAGTGCCACACAAGAGAGTGGAGTTCCAGTAGATGACATAGGATGTAGGTGTCACATAAGCTCTAGTGAGAATACGCTAGTCTCGCGAGAACCAAGTTTTGTTTACAGCAAAGGAAAACCAGTCACACCTAGGATGACTTGAGGGTGAGTAAATTATGGGGCAATTTTCATTTTTGGGGGAACTACCCCTTTAATGTGTGTTGAAAACACTTAAAGCTCTGCAGAGGTGTTTCTCCATTATAGTCATGTTTTGTTGATCGACCACATAATTACATGACTGTGTTCTCAGGCTTGTACCAACTTTAATGATAGCGGGGCCTGTGTGACACAATGTCCTCAGCCATTTGTCTACAATCCAACAACCTTCCAGCTCGAGCACAATCCCAATGCCAAATACACCTATGGAGCTTTCTGTGTCAAGAAATGCCCACGTAAGTAATACTGATCAATTGATCAAATTTAAAGTTAAATAATTAATACATTTTTTTTAAAAATAAGAGAACAGCATCATACTGTTTTTGTTTGTTTTTTTAATTTAAAGATATACTATTTTTATATTTTTTGTCTTCACTGTCCCTTTAAAACATATTTTTTGAACTAAGAAGCATCTTTCACAAGTAAGCCCTGTCGTTCTGTAACATAGATAACTTTGTGGTGGATCACAGCTCTTGTGTCAAAGCCTGTCCGAGCAACAAGATGGAGGTGGAGGAAAATCACATCAAGATGTGCATCCCATGCACTGACATTTGTCCGAAAAGTAAAAAACAAAGAATTTAAGAATTGCTAAAAAACTACATATAACCTCCACACTTTTTAGGAGCATTACAATACAGTATGCTCATGTTTGTTTGTGGTGTTCAGTGTGTGATGGTATAGGTACCGGCAGTCTTCAAACGGCTCAAACTGTAGATTCCAGCAACATTGAGATGTTTGTCAATTGCACCAAGATCAACGGCAACCTCATCTTCCTCATCACAGGCATTAAAGGGTGAGGAACATTTACGTCAGATATTCCCATATGACACCTGCATTTCTCTTTGAACATCTATGTGCCCTCAAAAGCTGCTATAAGGGAATGTCAACTTCTCTAGGCATGCCAACAAGCACTGTAACGAGGTGGTTTTGATGTATATAAAGCTGACGTGTTACTCTGCGTGTTGACAGAAGAAACATCTGTAGTCATGCGATCTACAAACTTGATGCAAAGTCAGTTTAAATCCCAATGAGATTGACCTTGTTGTTCCCAGGACATTATTACACTATCAAAACCTGTGCTCATAAAAATAAATGTTTTTTTTTTTATTCCTTACACTCATAAACAGTTTTGCTGTGTTTAACAGAGACATGTATCATGGTATCGGTGCTCTGGATCCTGAGCGACTGAATGTGTTCTGGACAGTCAGAGAGATCACAGGTAGAGAAAGCAAAGTTTTAAAATTATTTGGTAAAGCTATATCCAAATAACAAAAAACACACATGATGTCGAGCAAGTTCATTTCTCACTGCATTCTTGGATCCTTATGTTACAGTATTTATTTGTTGAGTGTAATAGGTTAGAAAAACTGAACAGTAAGTCATGTTAAAAGGCTTTTGTTTAATTAAAATCTGGTGTGTGGCACAGTCAGATATTAAATTGCAGTTAATGGAGTGAAACGTAATGAAACTCTGCACAATAAGAAAGACCTATGACTGTTGTCGTGAATGCAGTTCCCATCGCCACCATATAAACGCACCTCTGATTCTTGATGCACCAAAATATTGATCATAAGAACATGTGCAACCGTGGAAAACGCACCCAATGGTACTGAAAAATTGTGGTGTGATATTACATATCTATATTTCGTCATTACTTTTGCAGGACTACATTTGATGTAGTTTTGCTTTGCTTTTTTTACTGTCACATCTAGACCACTGTTGAATAATAGGTTTGTTGCTTGTTTGTTAACTGCATCCAAAGGTTACTTAAACATCCAGTCTTGGCCAGAGAACATGACTGATCTTGGTGTCTTTTCCAACCTTGTCACCATAGGAGGTAGAACACTTTATAGGTAAGATTATTTCTGTCAGTGCAACTGTTTTTGACTCACAAAAATGCTCCCTGCAAAATCACAGTGGATCAAAGTAAACCGTTCTGCTACATCACTACCAAATAAACAATCCAACCATATGAAAGAACGATAGGTTTGCACATTTTTAGTGACTTTCTAATCATCCTCATTTCTGTGCGTCTTTGTTTTCTCAGTGGTATTTCTCTGCTGATCCTGAAGCAGCGCTGGATCTCTTCGCTCAAGTTCCAGTCTCTGAAAGAGATCAGCGCCGGTAACGTCTACATGACCAACAACAGCCAGCTCTGCTTCTACAACACAGTGAACTGGACCAGTCTGTTCCGCACCAGCACCCAGAGAGTTCTGATCAAGAACAACAGGGACCCCAGAGAGTGTAGTGAGTGCTCTAGCCAGTACTATCAAACAAAAAAGATGAATTTAGTGCTCTATTTAAACAGGTGCGTCTCCTTTGTATAAACTTATACTTTGTGACTATTTAAAACAGTCAAATTTATCACTATTTTAAGGCAAACACTACAGGGTATATAGGGTTAAAATCTTAACTAGCAAATATCACCATACTTTCCCCAGTTGATTAAACACAGTACATTAAGAAAATTGTTTTGTATTACAATTTTGTAATACAATGAAACGTTATGTTTAAATATGCAAATGAGGGTTTGTATAATTAAATATGAACAAAAAAAAAACTCATTTCCATACATTTCTAGAATAAAAATCTGAACATTGGATTGAGCCAGATTCAAAAATCTTGATTAATTTTGTCGAGTTTTGGTCAAATTTATCACTATTTTAAGGCAAACACTACAGGGTATATAGGGTTAAAATCTTAACTAGCAAATATCACCATACTTTCCCCAGTTGATTAAACACAGTACATTAAGAAAATTGTTTTGTATTACAATTTTGTAATACAAAGAAACGTTATGTTTAAATATGCAAATGAGGGTTTATATAATTAAATATGAACAAAAAAAAAAATTATTAAAAAAAAACTCATTTCCATACATTTCTAGAATAAAAATCTGAACATTGGATTGAGCCAGATTCAAAAATCTTGATTAATTTTGTCGAGTTTTTCCACTTGATAAATCAGAAAATACTCTAAACAGCCAGCATTTATTTTATGTAAAAAAAGAAAAAATTATAATAATTAAAAGTTTACATTTAATTTTTAAGTTAATTTAAAAATGTTAAAGTTTTAAAATAGAAACCTTTAAACTATAGTACATATTTGATTATTAATACATTTAATTGAGATAAAAAAATTAAATCCACACACTAATTTTTATATTACTTTTATAATACTTTTTATATTTTTAATATTATGTCATTATTTCCATAGAAAATTAGGCACATTTCTCCCATTATTCTCATTACTAAAATCCAAGGTCAGCATTATATATATATATATATATATATATATATATATATATATATAATTATATTTTATATATAAATTTTATATTATGTATAATTAATATACTGTAATTATTTAATTTTATATCATTTCTTTTTATGAAATTTTATATTTAATATTATGTTTAAGGGGTTATTATTTTAGGGGTAAATGTGCATAATTGTCATGAAATTAGTGTAAACTAGAAATGTTCTTAAAAGTAGGCTTTCTTTTCTTTTCTTGGTGTAAAACACTATTTCACAATTTTGGGGGGAATAAAATGTAAAAACCTTCAGGATATAGACAAGAATAAAAATGTAAAGTTTGGTGTGTGTACATGCTACTGAAGTGGAGATTTATGGTTCAGGGTAGGAGAAAAAAATCATTTTGAGAAAACGACCTTTAAAAATATGCATTGTAATTGAAATCTATTGACACAAATAGATAAAGTGCTATAAAAGAAACACTTAACAGTGTCTTTTGGATGTTTTCTTTCCACTAGTCTGAAAAAACACTTTATGAAAAACCAAAAAGCCCAAAATCTCAAACTTGACAGGTGCATGAAAAAACTGTGTATTTGCCTGCAGTGTCTCCCCTTAAATTTGAGGCTAACTACGAGGTTTCGAGAGATTTGCACAGTTATTGGCTAAATGACCTGTAATATTGTCATCCCAGTTACCATCATAGTGTACTTGAGCGTTAATAATAGACTAGTCTATTATGTCTGCCAGTTCTTGAATTTCAATACACTGCACCTTTGGGACACATATAGGACATAAATACAATCATTTTACAAGCCAGTATCTTATGTATGATAAGAATTCCCTGAACTGATGAAATGGAGAAGCACAGACTTGTCCGTAATGGAGATGTTGACAGTTGCAGAACACTTCCCACAGTGCCGCACTGCCAAGCTGTGCTTGATGTAATTAGTGAGATAATAAGTCTGTGGTGTGTGGGATCAATGGTGCTGTTAGCCGGCTGATTCACTCGCCTCTTTTCCACGCTGCCGATCACAGTCGACTGATATCCCTGGATTGTCCAACAGCCCCGACAGCCGTGAACTGCATCCAGTGCTTTCCATTCACAGCTGATGGTCCCAGTTAACAATATGAGGGACTTTGGTTCAGTCAATACAGAGTTTTTATTTGGGATTTATTGATTCAGTAGTAATATTTGTATATACATATTTGAATATGCTTGAATTAGCTGATAAAGCAAAATCTGACCTCAGCAATGTCATTTTAAAAACTTTTAAAAAGTGATGTTGACATATTTCCTTTTGAAAAAGGATATTTGAGAGGAACATACAGTATTGATGTTTAGCCATACACTAGCACACCTCAAAGCCTGTAGAAATGGTCTAAAAGCCACAAAACTTCAGTCTGGATGTTATGGGGCCTTTAATATTGTTTAATGTCTAACTTATACCCATATAATGCCCGTAATGTATGTGTGTAAAGATATTTCTGTGGATGTCCTCCGCAGCTCAGCAAAGGATGGTGTGTGATCCGTTGTGTTCAGTGGCAGGATGCTGGGGTCCCGGTCCAGATCAGTGTCTCTCTTGTAAATACTTCAGCCGGGGAAAGACATGTGTGAAAGCCTGTCATCTCTATGATGGGTGAGTAAAAGACAGCTTGCACCCAGACTTCAGAAATGAAGGAGCAAGAAAAATATGATCTGCCATATCTAGGTTCATGCTAAAAAGTGGTACTTCTTTATTATTATTATTATATGTAGATGGATGGATGGATGGATGGATGGATGGATGGATGGATGGATGGATGGATGGATGGATGGATGGATGGATGGATGGATGGATGGATGGATAGATAGATAGATAGATAGATAGACAGACAGACAGACAGACAGACAGACAGACAGACAGACAGACAGACAGACAGACAGACAGACAGACAGACAGATAGATAGATAGATAGATAGATAGACATTGTTTTGCATTACATTTCTTCAGAAATATTGTTTAAATATGCAAATGAGACAATATATAATTAAATATGCATGAATATTCATTTTTTATATTATTGTTTATATAATTTAATAACATGTTGGTGTAAAAAAGACAAAAAAAAATTAGTTTTTTTGTAAAGAAATTCATATAATACATAACATATTTCACTAATAACACTAAATTTATGCTGTACGCTGTAAGTCTTTTGACCAGTATATCATTAAGACCTTAATAAACCTAAATTCATAAATACAATTTTCAGTTGTCAAGTTGACTGTTTATATATTTATATACCAATTACACAATTTCATTCTGTCATTGTTTCATGAATAACATCATTGTGTGGGCAGTGTTTGAATCTCCACAAGTTCTGACACTAGACTATTGGGTACAGCCATGGTTACTGCAGTATTTTTTTTGTTTTATGAAGACTATCTATCATTTAGATTGCCGTTCGCCCCCAGCCACTTTGTAAACACAATTGTGTACAAACTTCTGCCTTGGGGATGTGTGAGAAAAGATTAAAAGAATCAGAGAGAGGGATGGATTTCATCTAAAAGTTATAGTCTGAACGCAGAAGGCAGCAGGACCACGTCTGGTCAGCACTACGGCATGCACAGACCAAATCCAGCTAATTGTTCCTCGGCCTGTCCCGAGCGGGCTCAGAACACACTGCCATCTGTGAATGACAAAGAGGAAACTCTCATCTGACAACAAATTTACATTCTGGTCCACCGGGAGCGTCAGAGAAGAGCTCTTTGGTTGGCACTGCTTTTCTGCTGTAGTCATTAAACAATGGCAACTCTGACCAACATCTGAATAGGATTCCCTGTGGCAGAAAAATGTAATTTAGTTCCTAACAATAATCAGCTGTGGGGGAGTGTCATATTTTGGAGAATGAACAGGGGTCTCATTACACTCAATTAATTGCACTTTAAATCAGCAGGCCCAGTCTATGAATGGGGATGTGCCAAACATCTCCAGTCACTCAACCAAGAGTTCAGACCTGAGAACAGCGTTATGTGTTTATTTTAAATTCACTTGGTGAATTTAAAACAAAATAAAATAAATAAAATAAAATAAACAATTAAGACATGTGGGTATGTAGATGGGTAAATAGAAGCCTTAGTAGCTCTGATTCTGATTATTTGGTGAATCAAATTAAATGATGTTTGGTTAATTACATTTTTAGTCATAAAACAAAAGTCAAATAATAAAATAAAACAGTTAACAGCTGTTAGTAGGTGGGTAGGTAGATGGGTAGATAATAAATATTTAAATGAAATAAAATAATGCTGAATTTACTTTTAAAATATAAAGTAAAGTAAACTAAAATATGTTAAAGGAGACCTATTATGCCCCTTTTTACAATATGTAATATAAGGGTGCTTTCACACTAGCACTTTTAGTGCGCATCCGGGTTCGATTGATGTCAGAATTCGGTTCGTTTGGATGATGTGAACGCTGTCTTCCGAACTCGGGTGCGCACCCGCAAACCGTATTCGAGTCCGCTTAAAAAGGGTGGTCTGGGGTACGGTTCGCTGCTGATGTAAACGTGACAGACGTAAGTGCCGTTATGTACCGAATCTTTGTAGACAAAACGAACGGTTCAAAAACGTAAATGTATAAAAGTGCAGAGAGCAATGTTATGCATTTGTCGCCTTCTCCTGTGCCGTCGTTACTAAGCAACGGGGTAAACAGCTGCTGGCTTGCTAATGCAAACGAACCGCGGTTCGGACCCAAATAAAATAATATGAATGCAGTCCAGCGGGGGCAGTGGGAAGGTGGAGCAATCGAACTCGGGTTCGGACCATCAAGTGAACCAAGTGTGAAAGCACCCTAAGTCTCAGGTGTCCCCAGAATGTGTCTGTAAAGCTTCAGCTTAAAACCCCCCACAGATCATTTATTATATCATTTTGAAAATGCCTATTTTGAGTGGAAGCAGAAACACGCTGTTTTCATGCATGTCTCTTTAAATGAGCTGCTGCTCCCCGCCCCCTTTTCCAGAATTGGGCTGTGGCTTTACAGCTCTTTCCTTAGATACTCTGCTAAAAAACATCTGTTTGGTTTTGATTATCATGTCTGTTGTGTCATGAAATCATGTGTTTTAAACCATATTAGTTTAAACTTCTGATTTTCTGCATGCACACATCCGAAGCATGCACATACTAAACTAAGATTTTCATGATATGCCACCTTTAAAGTAACACCCATTCAGAGTTGTAGGTAGGTAGGTGGGTAGATGTCTTGGTAGTTTGCAGTTGGTAGTTTAGTTGGTTTAGGGCATCACATTAGCACCTATTTTGACTGTAATAGTTTCCAGTGTGACAAACTTTAAACTGTGAGTGTTCGTACACTCGATTTCCATAGTTTTAAGATCTGGGAGGTTTCTTTGATCCCCATTCTGTTATTGACAAGGCACCATCTTTCCCTGTTTTGGAACCGGCTTTCAAAATTTTCCTCTGAAACATGGGCTGATGGTATTGATGGCTCTGCTAGGCAGCCCCTCTGCCGTATCTCCTGCAATCTGAGCTGCCATCTGTTTAGATAAAATTTAAAGAGGACTGTTTGTTCTTTCCTCTCAGACCAGTGCCGAGAAAGATTTTTCTAATTAAAATGCCTTTATTTTTTCATGGATCTTACTCAGCCGACTGGTGTATTAGCCAAGTTCTCGTCAGTGTGTGAATATAGTGTCTGTGGTTCAGTTGGCTGTGGTTCAAGAAGACATGGAGGATGAGTCGGAGACAAAACAAAACCTGCTGTATGTGTTGTTGCAGAGAGAATGCATCACCTACTTTGAAATGCTTTTGATTGATAAAGGAATAATTATATGACAATTATTTCTGCATATATGGCCAGAATTGTTTGTTGGAAAATGATAAATAAAACTAAATGATATTTCATTATTTTATTTTGTTTTATTTTATAAAAATTTTGCTAATGTAATAGTTTTAAAGTATAATGTTTAATTAACCTATTTTTATTTTATTCATGTGCATATTTTAGAGATGTTCGCGAGTTTGCCAATGGATCAGTGTGTGTGGAGTGTGACAGCCAGTGTGAAAAGGCCGAAGATAAAACTTTTACCTGTCATGGCCCTGTAAGTAAACCAAGCAGTGCTATCTAAGGCTACGTTTACACGAAAACGATGTAGTCAAAAACGGAAAAGTTTTTCCATTGCGTTTTTAAAAAGTTTCACGTATACACGACAACGTTTTTAAAACAATTCGCGTAACACATATCTGCGAAAACGGCAAAAAACGCTGTATTACGTATGCCAGGCCAGTAGTTGGCGCTGTCACCTTGTTAGTAAATAGTACCTGTAGGGAGGTGACGATTAGATGTTGTATATGCGTCTCATCTGTTGGTTGTAATATTGGTGAAGTAAATCCACACTTTGCTGAAGAAGTGTTAGCAAACTCTTGAGCAGCAACAACAGTACCATGTACTTCGCCATTGCTGTATATGTTTGTTCACGCTTGCCTTTAAAATCGACACGTACTGTGCATGTCTACATACCTAACACGTACTA